GATTTTGTAGCTTCGACTCCACAAGAGAATTGTTGTTAATAAGTATCCTTATAATTATTAATACAAAGATCGAACACTCAGAAAAATTCGTTCGATCCGGCCGGACTCGAACCGACGTCTTCTAGAATACGCTATACCAACTAAGCCACGGAACGAACCAGCGGACCTCAAGAATTTTTCTATGTGCTTGCGTCGTATCTTTGTATTTGGTTTTTCAAGGATTTTTTAGCCGTCGCGCCATCTATGAGAAATCTATGATATTTCGTCACCCAGTTCGATACCTTTACAGCTACCAGCCCCGGCTAGAGATGTCACTATTCAGTGTATTTTAAATTTGTATTGAATTGATATTCAATTATTTTTCTGAGTGTTCGATCTTTGTATTAATAATTATGACAAACTAGTGGAGTAATTTTACATAAAAATAATTGAATAACAATTGAAAAAAAATTTTAATAAATCTCTGCTTTTGGTTTGGTCAATAGATGTAATTCCACAAACTTTCGACGTCGGTTTTGTTTTATTATAAAAATGTTATAATTATTATATTTTTTTAGACTGCTCCTACGCAAAGAAGGCGTGAACCTACGCACATCAGCGGAATTAGAAATCGTTAAAGCAATCAAAGAACGAGCGTGTTATCTTTCGCCCAACCCCTTGAAGGAAGAGAGTTTGGACACCGAGAGAGCACAGTATACATTACCCGATGGCACACAGTTAGAGGTAACGACAGCTACACACACACACACACACGCACGCATACTAGCACACGCAGAAGCGCACACGCAAACATAAGCGCAGACGCATAACCTCGCATGCACAAGGTCACACACCCACAAGCACAGACGCAGTAAAACGCACGCGCCCACACACGTAATATTATACGTGCACAGAGATGGGTTGTGAGTTAAAACCAATCAAGTCGTCCGGGCTTTAACCCGAGGGGTTTTCGTACTTATTACAAATTTCGATCTAAATCATTGACTTACAAATAAATGGACGACGGGTCTAATACAAAAACCACGAAAAAAATGTCCCAAGTCAACCTATTTAAACGTAGTGACATGTAAAGGAATATGAAAAGGCTAAAACGTTGAATTTAAATTGTAATGTCATCGCAGTACTGTCTAATTTTGCTTGCTTAGCTGTCAGTCGAACAAACGAAGACTAAAGCGTGAATGACGCTCTGTATACGATTTTAACGCCCTATAAGTTCGGACTCTTTTTAGCGCGGACCCGACGTCCATATAATTGTAAGTGAATGATCTAAATAATCATTTTTACACGAAAAAGATGCAACTCGAGATGTTAACGATTTTAATGAAAATCGAATATAACGATTTTTTCGTATCGATTTATTTCAATGCAATTTTTCAGGTGAATCGATTCAATTGAAAGTCATGTCGAATCGTCTAGATTAGAAAGAAATAAATATTTTCTAGTAATATCACTAAATTTGAACGAAACTCTATTTACACCGTTCGACGGTATCGCCATCTCTGAGGTCCCGGGTTCGATCCCCTGGGTCAGTGTAGAAAACTAACTTTTCTATTCTGTCTCGTGTCAGGGTGTAACACAAGTGCTATAACTACTTACTTTGGGATCAGCGCAGCGCATGTAATGTTGTCTAATATATTTACAACAAATATTGAGTTGTAAATTGTTTTTGCCCTCGATTTCTTTTTTTTTAACTTGATTTACACGCGCCTTCAATGTTAACCAGTGCCGCCGAGACTTTTTGAAGTTGCTACGACAGTATATATATTATTAATTTGAATTTAACTTCTGTAAATTATATAGATTGGACCCGCGAGATTCAGAGCTCCAGAAGTGTTGTTCCGACCAGATCTCATAGGGGAGGAATGTGAAGGTGAGTTACGGATTATTTAACTGCCCTCATGGCCGAACGCTTAACATAAATGACTGTCACGCAGAGGTCCCAGGTTCGATTCCCGGGCTGTGAGAAATATTTGTATGGCCTATATTTATTTCTCTCGTAGGTTTGGGTGTCATTTGTGGTTGTCTATGTGTGTGTTCATGGCACCCGCGACACAGGGTTTCCCTAGTGCGGGGCAATGTTGAGTGTGTGCGTTTTTGTGAAATTACTCCACTAGTTTGTTATAATTATGAAATACAAAGATTGAACACTTAGAAAAAATCCTCCGATCCGGCCTAACTAGGTGACGAAATACTTTCATAGATTTCTCATAGATGGCGCTACGGCTAGAAAGTCATTGAAAATCAAATACCAAGATCCGACAACAAGCAAGATCGACGGAATTTTTTCTAAGTTTTCGATCTTTGTATTAATAAGTGTGATAATATATTTGCGAAATGGCTACACTAGTTTTGCTAGGAAGATCGAACACACACACAATTCTATCTATCATAAAATTTAAAATCTATCATAAATTTTTCCAGGTCTTCACGAAGTCCTGATGTTTGCAATTCAGAAGTCAGACATGGACCTACGTAAAGTCTTATATTCAAACATAGTATTGAGCGGAGGAAGTACATTGTTCCGCGGCTTCGGAGACAGGCTTTTGGCTGAGATAAGACGACTAGCACCCAAAGACATGAAAATCAGGGTAAGTTGCTTGAACCAGTTTCTATCGTCTATCAGTTACTGCGATCCGGTTTCGGAGGATGGTTTATCTACAGGCACATGGGACTTATCGACTGTAAGTCTCAGGGAGACGGGTGCAGTGAAACTGCTGGTATGTTCAACAAATCTAATCTCGCTACGAGCATCTTTACAAAGTTTCGTAGTTTGTACATAGTCAAGTTAGCCTGCATGCAATCATACTGTTTACGTGCAAGTGTCATGAAAAACATTGTATGTTTTACGGGCGGTACGCTAATTACGAACCTCGACTCCTAAAGCCCTCAGTCTTCGACTTCGGGCTTCTAATAAGGTCTCGTTCGTAATTCCTTATTTACCGCCCTTAATGTATAATGTAGTATTACCGGACCATTATATAAGACCAGATTGCTATTTCACCATACCATATATGTGGCTACATTTTTTTTAATAATATTGAGTGACGGAACGAACAAGTCGTACGCCTGATGGTAAGCGACACGCCTGTCCATAACAGTTGCTGTGCCACTCAGAGCTTTAAATCGCAAAGATCTGAGGGGCACTGCCACTGCGCCCGCCACCCTGTGACATAAGTTGACAAGCCCCATGTGCCTGTAATTTCACCAGCACCCTTCAAAACCGTAACACAGGAACGTTAACATTACTGCTTTGCGGTAGAAATAGGTAAGGTGGCAGTACTACCCTGGACGAACTCTTTTACAAGGAGCTCTACTGCTTTATTTATTAAATAAATTATTACTATAGTGATGGCTAATTTTACTGCCAACTTCAAATCAATTAATTAATTGAAAGAATCGATTTGTTTAATTGAATCATAGTAGCGGTTTTCATTACATAACCTATAAAAGCTTATATAAAATTTCCGAAATCTTAATTTGAAATCCTCCTTACATTTAGGGTCGTATTCCAGAACTCTACTAATTGCTCAAGTCATGACATGAGTATGATTTAGAGCACTAGAAATCATACTCAAGTCCTTGCCATTAGGGTCGTATTTCCAGCGCTTGAAATCATAATCAAGTCCTGACTTGAGCAATGAGTATAGTTTTGGAATACGACCCTTAAACACTCGTTCGATTGCGATTGAAATTTTCGATTTGCTAATCGATTACAAAAACTTTAATTGAATGAACTGAATGTTTTTTTTCCGTACAGCACTGTGCAACCAGAGACTATTCATACATCTTTAATTAAAAAATACTTCGAATCGAAGGGTCGAAGGAATTTTTTCTGAGTGTTCGATCTTTGTATTAATAATTATAACAAACTAGTGGAGTAATTTCACAAAAAATAATTGAATATCAATTCAATAAAAATTTAATTAAAAAATACTTTTTGACTACCATTTTTCAAATACAATGTTATGCAAATGAATATTGTTCGAAAAAGTGATGAGATATTAAGTCGAAATCTTCGAAATATACGTGCAAGTGTTAATTATTCGATTTATTGAGTAATTAGTTTAGAAATTCAAACAAACTGTTTCGTTTACATTTCGTTTAAGATGGATTGGAACAGACTATATTCGACCCCGCCTACGTAAAGTGTCGTATGTCGAAATTGCCAAACAGGGAAGCGATTTAAAGTTTTGAATTCACTCAAATAAGCATATCACGTGACTTTAGCAATTCACAATATACATTAGTATATTGTGGTGGTTCATCTAACCGATATCTAGGATTTTATAATACTCTGTAATACGAGTTACTAGCTTCGCCGAATAAAACTGAGAAATGCTAAAGTCACGTGTTATGCTCATTTCGGTGAATTCAAAACTTTAAAACGCTCTCCTGTAAACTGGACAATTTCGACATACGATTGTTTACGTAGGAGGGGTCGATATCATACCACTACTATTTCCATATCACACGTTAATATTCTCGTACCCAAAACCAAATCGCGAGACGACATTGTGCGTTCGTCCAGGGAAGCACTGCCACCAAGGTCCTCTATTTATGTAAACAAACCTATATCTTTTTATCTTACAGATCTCAGCACCCCAAGAGCGGTTATACTCCACATGGATCGGGGGTTCTATTCTGGCATCACTCGACACCTTCCGCAAGATGTGGGTTTCGAAACGCGAGTACGATGAAGAGGGACACCGCGCTGTTCATAGAAAAACATTCTAGATACATTCTCTTCGCTTTCCAGAACATTCTAGACAGTTTCTAGAGTATTCTAGAAATCAACAGGAATTCATATTGGTGTTTATAAGTTTTCCACTGTATTTGGCCTTTAGATTTTTTCTAACGATTTCTAGACATTTCTAGCTCTGTCTCTAGAATTTTCAATGCACTGTGGCTTGCTAGACACCTCGACAAGCTAATGTCGCTTTTTGGTGTAGGATTAAATTGGTGTCGATTCCGTTGTTTCCCATTCTAAACTAATTTGAATGGTTTAGACTTTTTTTAAGTAATAAAGTGTAAGGAAATAATGTTTTCAGAGATAGCTGAAGTTTGATCTGTGCTTTGGCCTTTGGTTTGAAAGAGACAGATCTTTTTGTCTTAAAGCAGAAGGCAAAAATATTGGTCTCGTTTATTATATGAAGTTCCAAGGAACAATGGCAACATTATAGTTATTGGAATTCGTTAGCGTCTTCAAATGTCTCAAATACAAGTTTGAATAAAATAAATTCATTAGGTTTTTGAAATTATAATAGCGGCCTATCTGAGTCTGGAAATAAAATCATATTTAAAAGATACTCTAATGACTAATTAGTATGTACCCGGACTGATATCTACAACTGTCAGTTTCTTAGGTTCTTAACGTTGAGCGACATCTAGTTGCCAAAAAAAGAATTTCAGTACCTTCGTATGGATATGGTCCACATTTAATTCACGTAATATCAAATGTACGATTCGTCAGATTGGCAATAAAGTATTAACTACTTCATTACAAAAAAATAAAGTAGATAATGCGTTCTCTAACTTGCCACGCGAGAAAATGGTAAAACTGACTAAAAGTTTCCGAAATCAGGGATAGATGGCACGTTTCACAAAAAAGAATAATTTGTGTCCGAGTTGCCAGTGCAATAGTCTTTGGTGTGTATTAATTAGCTCAGTTTTCTTCTTCACGCCTTTTGACCATACCAGTATACAAAATAATTGCCTATAAACTTTCGTCACGTCACAAACCCACGGCATCATTCAGTTTCTATTAACGCTATCTGCTATCTGTAGTTTATTTTGATATAATAATACACCGAATATTTTTTTTTCAATTACGTAAACACATAACCTCCAAAACTTCAAACTGGAATATATTTAATTCCATACTTCTCAGAAGAACACAAAACAAAATTTGTTCAGAAATTACAAGTCTACATTTTCACATATTTTTCATAAGACGCATATAAATTATGTCAACAAAAATTTGTATGGGAGTTTGACATTGTTCTTTCTATCGTAGCCCAGTGTTTCTGTCTGATTTTTAAGGACATTTTACACAAAAACACAACGTCAGAAAGTCGGTAAAAGATTAACAAAGATTGATTGATTGAAAATCGTCCAAGTTAGTTTAAATTTAACATTGGAATCAATAGAATCGACCACTATTTTAAAGTCATTGTAAACACTGTTATTTATATTTCCGTTAAAAATATATCAGCTTGTTTATTTCAAAATTATTTTAAATAACCAAGAAATGAAATCGAATTGTCACAGAAGTTAACATTAAGTATTTAAAAAAATAATAATACTGTATGTATCTATTAAGATCGTAATTGATCCAGTTGTTTCGGGCATAAAAAGAAGTATATTTATCTTGTAAATCTAAAAGAATTATCATCATGTATTGAGAACAACATGTGTATAAGCGACCTCGCATGATGTGTGATTTTACTGATTTCCTTGCCCGGCTGACGACCACCAACAGCCACACACCGGCTCCCCTCTTTCATATTAATAATTAGTTATAAAATGAGAACTCATCTTTTTTGTGATTTTACCGAGGGACAAACAGTTATATTTAAGCAAAAAAATACATATGCAATATTAAACTTTTGTTTAAACCCACAGTCCCCAAAATATATTTAAAACAGAACAAAAAATGGACAAATAGGCAAACTGATAGACATATAGAACTACTAACTACAAGCTATGAATCACAACTATAACACACTAACACATAGGTATATACATACATCATTATCATATATTTTATAAATTCTTTATTTCACAAAGAAAAGGCATTAAAAACACATGTTACAAAGGACATATACAAAAGTGAGCTTATCTCTAGAAGATATCTTTTTTTCTATCAATATAGGAGAGTTTTTTCGGTACGCATTGTTCCACGCACCGCGGCGGACGCGTCTGCATTATCACGGACGCGTCTGCATTATCAAGGACGCGTCTGCGTTACCAATCACGGACGCGTCTGCATTATCACCGACGAGTCTTTTCACTTGGCCGACAGTTGCGAGCTCGTGCGAGGTGCTCGGTAAAATCACGCACCCCAGGAAGCTAACTTAAGGCTCAATTTAGATTGCCGTGGAAGGAATGGAAGTGAATCTTGGTACGAATCAAGCGACTTAGTTTTTGGCTCGTATCTATCAGGGTATAGGGACATAACAATTTTGTGTTTTAATAAAACACAGAATAATGGAGATACCGGACTGAGATTTATTCCAGGTGCACTACACATGTTACACTTAATAATAGAATTTGATCTCGTTCATAATTAAAAAAAAATTAATATCAAGTGCCGGACGAACAAGTTGTGCAGCTTATAGTAAGCTACACGCCTGTCCATAGCAGTTACAGTGCCACTCGGAGACATAAGTAGACAAGTCCCATGTGCCTGTAATTTCACCAGCACCCTTACCATTCAAAACTAATGCTCACACTACTGCTTGGCGTCAGAAATATGACCACCGTGAACACGTTTGCAGCCTTCAATTCTTTGGAGCCAATTTGCCACCACTCTTTGAGACATATCGGCCGAAACGTTGGCAATTCGCGTTTGATATTATAGTTCTAGCCTATCGTTTTAACGTAACTCCATAAAAAATAATCCAACGGTGCCAGATCGCAAGCGAGGTAGCGAGAGAACTTCACCTACCAACCCACAGGAGGGGTAGGCAGAGACCACTGAACGCCACTTTGCTCTATCCTGACACATCTCTCGAGCCTCAAATACATCAACCACCCTTTTCATACTTCAAACTTGTTTTATTCTTGTCACTTCGGATCCCAGCCTTTTTGAGGACATCACTGATCTGATCAATGTAAGTCCTTCTGCGACGTCCTCTTAAAACCCTTCCATCCACATTCGCATCATAAATCTTCCGAATTGAACTTCAAACTTCCTCTTCAATATATTATTGAGATTTTTTGTAAAATAACTCCACTAGTTTTTATTATGATTTTTGATGGGATGGGACTTGAACCCGCGACCATGCTGCACCGTACTGCTCTTAACAAACTGAGCTACGGGTCAAGTAATCAAGATGTCGAAATTATCCTATGTATTTTTGTTAAAGATCTTTGTACTGGGTAGGTATCGGCATTCTGTGCCTCTTATGACGTCTGGTCTAATATCTCAGAACCTTCTTCACCGCAGCTACTACTTTTTCAGTAGGTCGATTGTTTGACCAGCTCTATGACCGATGCAAACGTGCTCTCGGTAGCCATATGAAAGAGATCGAATTCCGTTCTCATATGCAACATGCGTCCTGAAATAAATTTAATCTCGATATTTCAATTATTCTGTTGTTTTAAACAATTCCGCAGTAATGTGAATTGAGCATATGAATAGAAGTTAAAAATGTAAAAACTACAGTGCAAAAACTAATTTTTTTGAACGCTTTAAATGCAGCTTTTATTATATTACACGTTTTTATTCTAGCAGGGTACCTAGGTAGATTTTAATTGCAGTAATTTCACATACTAATGGATCTACCAATTAACCGCGTAAGGGCGCGCTCCCATTATGTCATTTGAAGTGTCGTGGCTTGTATATTGAAATGAAGTTGTTCACATTTAGTACGACTCGAATAACTGTCGTTCACGACTTTTTTGATGTTACGACGGCAGACTGTCAAGACAATGGGAAGAGCTAGAGCGACAGTCGCCCGACAATAAATTATCTGTCACGATAAAAACGTGACGACAGATAATCTTAGCTACTATTGACGTCATTTTATTTATCGTTGTCTGCACGTGTTCTGCTTCCTACTCTCCCATCGCGTCTCCCGCGGCCTCGGCTGTGCATCAAACGATTTAGTCGTGAAAATTGAAAGTAGTCTTATCGGCATTGATTAATATGACAGCTCTAAAATGTTTTTCTTTTTGTTCTTACCGATAACTATAGAGGCAAATACTGTGAGTTTAAATTTCATTTAGTGTAACCACGCCATTGACGTATTATTTAGATCGATTTAAAAAAGTTAATAAACCTAGCTAACCCAATGTTGTAGAGATAAGTATAAAAATATTTAACTACGTTTATTTAAAAGATAAAGACAATTTTTGTATTGCTTATTAAATTATTCTTTTTCGAATATTCCCTTGTTTCATTTATTCACTTGTCAAACCTTTATTACGCGTGTCTTATTCCAGCGTGACCATGGTCGAGTTTTTAAATAAAAAGTCGCCATTTAGTCGATTCTAGTCGCAAAAAACTTGATTGCGTCGGTCCGCCGTTTAAAAGTTATAAAGGTGTTTTAAGGCCGGCGCAGACTGACGTCGCGGCACGGCACGGCATGCCGCGGCACGTCGAAGCGCGTCGCGGCATGCCGAAGCGCGTTGCGGCATGCCGCGGCACATTCACTGCGCGCCATTCGCCGAAATCGCCGCCGCACTAGTTTCAAACCTTATTTCAATTAGTTTAATTGTCATAATTCTGTGACCGACGTGACTTGCGGGACGTCTGTGGAATGAAACGGCATGCCACGATGTGCCGCGGCATACCGCGGCGTCCTGCCTGTATAATTGTATCGAAATAAAGTCATATACAATAAGGAGATACCAGGGGGCGCTGTGCACGTAAACATCGATGCTGTATTTTAACTTAATTTAAAAATAGTTAACTCTAGTTATTTATTTATTTTGTTCGATTAAAGTGAAAAACTAGTGATAAATAATACGTGACAGTGTTAGTGACAAAGAAAATGGATAAATAACAATGGATCGCCCAGAGAATTATAAACAAGTGCTTCAACTAAAATCTTACTTATAAAGTACTTAACTTAAATAAAAATCTACGAAGGATACTCAGAAGACTACAGAATTGATAAAAAAGTGAAACACATACGTGAACAGTGTGTTATTTTTAAACCTATGTAACGAACTACCTACACCCACCATTAAATCAAAATTTGGACTTTGTACCCTTCATTTCTTCTTCATTTCTTGGCCACTTCAACACACTTCACGCGGCGCCATCTAGTGTTGAATAACCTCGGCAGGAAACTATCAAGACCCATAACGCCATCTAGTGAGTAATAGCTGACCCACTAATATATCGTATCTAGATTACACTATCACCCGTAAGATGGCAGGTATTTGCAGTGGATGCTTAAAGAAAATTCCTGATAAGAGATTTTTAAAATGTTCAATCTGCGCTCAAAGCTATGACCTCGAATGTGCTAATGTATCTGAAGCTCGATTT